AAGAGCTTCTGCGGCTTGAGATGCCTTGATCCAACCGTGCCTAAATCCACGATTTTCACATCGGTAAACTTCTTCAGCACGTTTTTCCTTGGTCTTTTCGATTCCAACTTTTTGACTGTCATGAAAACCTTTCTCATAGGCCCTCCCCTTCGCATTCTCCATTGCGAACATACTCGCCGTCTCACGATTGGCAAGCGCGGAACTGATGAGCCGACTGGTAACCCTTTCTTCCACGATTGGGTTTCCATGTCCGGCGGGTTGTGCCTGGGCCACCTTGGTCTTCCTTAACTCGCGCTCAGCCGCCTCCGCGCGAGCCTCCAAACTTCGAATACGTTCCTCTTTCTTCTCTATTTCTCAGCGGGCAGCATGCAACCGCATGCCGATTTCATAGGTAGTGTAAAGCCCCTTCACCGCCCCGTGAATGCCTTCGCGAAATACTTCGTAGTCCTGACGACCTACCATCGATTGCTGAACCTCAGGAGGAAAAATTTGTCGAGCAAACTCGACCGCTACATTTGGGTCTCGAACGATCGAGTCCGCCTCTGTCATGGGTCTATTCCCCACAAATACCATAAAGCTTAATGGGCACGGATTCGAGTCAAATCCCTTCTCGACTCGAGGTTGAGAAGATCTGCCCTGCGACTGCTTGTCTCGCCTGGGCGACCTGCTTCGACGTCGAGGAGACTGACGCCTCTCTCGATCCTCGAAACTCCTACCCCTTGTGCGCGAAGGTTCACCACCTCGATGCATGTCTCCACCCAGCTCAGCTAGCGTCCTCGCTTCTCCTCTGCTGTTAAAGAAAAGTCTGTTCGACATTCACATGATACCTTCAAAAGCTGGAGTCAGTTGTTTACTGTATTCATAAAAGTTGTACCCTTAATCATTTATCCTTTACAGAGGCAGCACCCTCGAGGCAATTTCATTAATTGTGAAAACCTCAATCGCCCGGCGCTGATTGGATAGACCTACCGGCGCCCGAATGATCATGCACCGCCTGGGGCAAGGGCAGAATAATCAATCTATTCGAATTAAATGCCCCAACCGGCCCATAACTCGTTTCAGCATAACCGCCTGGGGCAAGGGCGTGATAGATTTATCAATATATTCAGCTTACGTGCCCCAGTCGGCTCATGAATCGCCTTCAGAATGATCATGCCTCACCTGGGGCAAGGGCGTGATAGATTAATCAATCTATTCGGCTTAGGTGCCCCAGTCGGCTCATGAATCAACTTCAGAATTATCATGCACTGCCTGGGGCAAGGGCGTGATAGATTAATCAATCTATTCGGCTTAGGTGCCCCAGCGGGCTCATGAATCGACTTCATAATTATCATGCGCCGCCTGGGGCAAGGGCGTGATAGATTTATCAATATATTCGGCTTACGTGCCCCAGTCGGCTCATGAATCGCCTTCAGAATGATCATGCACCGCCTGAGGCAAGGGCGTGATAGATTAATCAATCTATTCGGCTTAGGTGCCCCAGCCAGCTCATGAATCGACTTCAGAATTATCATGCGCCGCCTGGGGCAAGGACGTGATAGATTTATCAATACATTCGGCTTAAGTGCCCTAGCCGGCCCATGAATCGACAACAAAACTAAGTTCGCCTCCTCCGGCACCCGAATGATCATGCATCGCCCGAGGCAAGGGCAGATTAATCAATCTATTAGGATTAAATGCCCTAGCCGGCCCATAAATCGTTTCAGCATAATACCAACAAACTATTCGGCATACGAATGATAAGATTGCCATGATATTCAATCATAAAAAGGTCAACAGAGTAGTCATTCTAACTAAAGTAGTGAAACGTAAACATTCTACACCAACATAACATCACAAACTGCGCATTAGTAGTGAAACAAGAAGATAATTTTCATTAATAAATTGAGCGCAGACAGTAGCCAATTTATACATGAAAACTACTCGGAACCAACAAAAGTCCTAAAAACAAAAACATACATTAAAAGGGAAAGTATTTCATAAAATTCGAATGACTCCCAAATCAATCCTCGGGGTCAGCCTCAAGTGGCTCAACGTCCACCAGCTCATAAGGAATTGGCAAGCAGCGGCATCAAGGGCCTTGAGCCACCCGTGTTTGAACCCCCGATTCTCAAACTTGGGGACTTCATCTACATATTCTTTGAAGACGGTGCCTTTTCCTGCTTCAAATGCGGCAGAAGCCTCAGATTTTGCCTTTTCCTTGGCCGCCTTCAACTCTGCTAACTCAGTCTCCATCCTGTTAAGCGCCTCCTCGGCTAGCCTAAGTGATTCTTTGCTCGAGTTCGCCCTATCTTCGGCATCAGAACGGTGCTGATCGACAGCCCGAGCCCTTTTCACTTCGGCTTCGGCTCGCGTAGTCTCCATAGCAGCCCTCATCATCTCAAACTCGACCCTACTCTTTTGATCGACCACTTTTGACTGCAAACGGTCAATCCTCTCAAGGGCATCGTGTACGCGGCGGCCCAAGTCGGCGATCCTGCTGACCGTCTGTAAAACGAGTTAGGATCGTTAGATGCCATAGGCAACCAAAATCAAAACAAGTCAAAGTTCACCTACCAAAAGGGCCGACTGCGTAGATAAGGCTATGGCCACCAAATCCGGCACGGCATGAAAGGATGCCTTATCAGCTGGTAAGGAGACTGACGCCGCTAGGCTCAAGGCTACTGCCGGGTCGGTAATGATGGATGCATCAAAAGGAATCGGCATGTCTCTAATCTTTGGCTGAAAATTAAAAGGAACAACCACGTCCGATTCTTCTAAACGAGGCCTTTTGTCGGCAAGACTATCTTCTGAACTGGCCTCTCCCTCGGCGCTACGCTTCTTGCCCCGCTCTTCTGGAATCAGCCATTCATCAATGACCGGTTGTTCAACCTCTTTCGCCGTTTCAGCCGCAACAATCTTAGCTGGCTCTTCAATAACGGGTTCGGAAGACTCAACCAAGGCAGGTCCAGAACGAGCGGTCTCGGCCTTTTTCCAGGCGGTCATACGCTCGGCATTTTTCTTTCAAGCCATCTGCGTGAGGCTTTCCCCAGCCATACCTTCAAAAAAATTGCCGGGTAAGTCTCCCAAACCTCCAAAAATATCTCCTAAAGAAAACTCCGCCCAACCCGAAGTGGACGGCGAGGTAGGCTGACTACGTCTGGCTGCCTCAAACGCCGAGTTTAGGGCCTCATCAACCTCTTCGGCCTCCTCAGCAAACTCTCTGTCTAGTTCGGCGACTACCTCTACCACCGGCTCGACGTCTTGCCCCGAGTCAGAGGCTTCGAGACCAACTTGTCTAAGACTCTTGAAGCTAGGGAAGATAAGAGCCGCAAGCTGTCGATCGCCGGATGGAATTGGAATATTGTTAGTGGTCGAAAAAGTAGTGTAAGTAGGCTTGTATCGAAGAAGTATGTGGGCCGCTCTCCCTTGCTTCTGTAAGTTTGGGCGGCCGAAGTATCCAAGTGCAGTCGCAACCTGCGCAAGGACCGCGTCGTCGGTAGAAACCAGAATCTTCTTCAAATTACTGCTTGCAAAGGCAAAGGGTTAGACATAGAGGGAAAGCCGAGTAAAAGAAAAGTTCAGTAAACACAAGGAGACACACGACAACCTGGTTCACCCCTAGGTCTGGGAATAGGGTCTAGGCGATCCTCGCCTTCGCCAAATTCCCAGTTCCCTCAGATGTTGACCATTACGTCATCCACACGCTTGCCAGAACTGGCGAGCATGGTTACCAAATGATGGTCAGTATCCTTGGCCCTAAGAAAGTACCGCCCAAACCGACCGGAAGATTTGGCTAAAGCATAGCAGTGCCGAATGGCCGAAATCCCAAGATCGATCCTGAGGTGCCGGTTCAACTCTACGATCCTCATTACGATTCGAAAAAAGTTCACGTTGGGCTGAGAAGGAATAAGACCCCAATAGCGGAAGACGGCCCTAAGGAATGGATGTAGGGGAAAACGGACCCCGCCCTCTGCAATGGATAGGAGAGGAAAGATGATTGAATTTTGATCCTCTCTCTCCATATCCAGAGTGTTGTCCGTCACTAGAGATAGATGAACATCATCGGGGATGGAAAAGTGTCACCGGAATCCAGAAACACGACCCTCAGAAAGGAGGTCTTTCAAGTGTTTGGCCATTTTCACGGGGAATAAAGGGTTCACCAAAATGAAAATAATAAACAAAAAGTAAGATTGCAAAGAAAAGAGAAGAAGACTTATGAGGAGCAAGGGAGACGAGGGTAGACGGAGAAGAGTTGCAGAGAATGTGAGTCAAAGAAGGGATATCTGCTGGCGGTCCAAGAGTCTCGAATACTCGACGAACTGTGCATTCGAAAGGACTGAAATTTCAAATCACAATAAATGCGAGACGCACGATTGAGGTAAGAAAGCGTAATGATGAACGAAAAGGGGTGCGCATCCTGACATCTATATTGGGGTACGCGAAGCCGCCTGACCTATTTTAACCTTTCCAATTCAAGACCAAACACGCCGATTAACTTCCGTCAATGGGGAGTTCGGAGGGCAATTGCGGGGGCCGAATACATGGAAAAATCAGATGGTGCATACCATTGGAAGACTGATATTAATCGGCTATATCCTACGAGAGTGGGGTGCCGAATATAATATATGTGCCGAATAAGTGTAAGTCCTTAGGGCCGAATAAGAGAAAGGACAATGATTAAAAAGTAGGCCTTGGCCCCGAGGATCAAAAAGAACATGTATAAATACAGGAACAACGGTTATAGAAAGGTATGTAAGAATCACTTCACAAAACTTAGTAAAGAAGCTACCCTGAGTGTCTGAACTGACTTGTCCATCGGAGTGCTAATTCCGGCACCCCCAACCGGAGTTTTTGTATCTTTTCAGGTGACTAGCTGAGGATCACTAGCGTCTCCCAGGATCCGAAGAGTATTTCCAAACCACTTCTCCACAATCACATAAAAATCCAAACACCAATCCCAAGTTACTAATATGGATATGAACAAATAAAATGTTGAAGAAACTACAGTTAATACATACCATTTTCCCCAGAGTTGAAAACATTATCCTGAAGGCTATTAGCAATAATAAATTAATCATTATTTATAACTATATAGTAGTTGAAAAGTATTTATTATTAAGAAAATTAAAATAAATTCAGTAATATGTACAACCTATATGGAAAGTCATATTCATTAAAAGGATTTAATTAACACAACACTAACATACCGAAATTTGGGTTGAAGTAATTTACTACCACAAGCCACAAACTCCACGGGAAAGATCTAAGATTGAACCAGTTTCTTCAACAATAAAAAAAGGAACCAAAAAAAAAAAAAACAAAGCAAAACAATAAAGAAAAAAAACTAGCCATTGTGACATTTTATCAAACACCTAGCAAACACAATCAGAATATCATGAGACTTTACAGTGTGTAGAATCAACAACAATCCATTCAATTCAATGATTATATTGGTTATAATATGAATATCATAATCAGAATATAGAACATGTTAATCATTATATTTTTCATATTTTTTTCCCAAATTAAAATCATTCAAGTTGTTCATGGAACCCTTCAAAGTAGAGAAGTTATAGAAATGTTAGAAGTAATGAATAGAATGGCTTTAATCTCATCTTGACCCAAATGGGTCTAAAGACAGAGTAAGGGTTGAGAATGAGAAATGAGAGACCTGAATAGAGAGAGGGGTAAAGAAAGAGAAACAGAGACTACAACTAACCAGGAATTCGTGGACGGTGCTGTGAGTTGGACGGTGTTCCTTTGCGAGTTGGACAATGGTGTGAGAGAGAGAAACGAAGAGCTTTGATGAAGCTATACAGGCTGCCTCTGTGTATCAAATAAGAGCAATGGATTATTTGGGTCAAGAGAATGAATTTGGTGAGGAATAGAATTTGTCTTCAAAACACAAAACTACGTAGTTTTATATATTGAAATATTAGGTGACAAAATATTTATCCTCACTAATAATATTTTTAATGGAGACGAAATTTTTTGTCACTAGCTTGGTGGCATGGTTCCCCCCAAATTTTTTAATAGCGGGAAAAAATTATGGTGACAAAAAAAATAAAAATAATGACGGAATTTTATTTTTCTCTCTAAAAATGGCACATTTGAAGACGAAATATTATTTTCTTCACTAAAAGGTAAGTCTTTCGTGACAAAATTTATTTTCGTCATTAGTTTTCGTCTCTAAAGACTCTTTTTGTTGTGGTGTTTCTTTGTCGTTTCCTGAACTAACTCTAGACCCAACAAAGATGCATCACCCACCTCGGCCCAACACGCAGGAGGCCTATATGGTCGGCCATACAAGGCCTCAAATGGTGCCATGCCAATACTCGATTGGAAACTATTGTTATAGGCAAACTCCACTAAGGGCAAGTGCTTCTCCCATGATCCCTTGAAGTCAAGGACACAACTTCAAAGCATATCCTCAAGGATTTGAATAGTACGCTCGGACTGCCCATCAGTCTAAGGATGATACGCAGTGCTAAAGGTCAATCTAGTGCCCAAGGCACTTTGCAAGCTCTGCCACAACCGAGCTGTGAAACGCGGATCTCTATCCGAACAATCGCCACAAGGACCCCGTGTAACTCACGCGCATAGGTATGAAGTGCGGAAACTTGGTTAAATGGTCAACTACTACCCACATAGCATCACTACCCCATTGAGTCCTTGGAAGGCCCACAACAAAATCCATTCTGACATGTTCCCACTTCTACTCGGCTATAGGCAAGGATTGCAACAAACCCGCTAGCCTCTGATGCTCGGCCTTCACTTGTTGACAAGTAAGGCACTTCGACACAAACATGGCTACATCCTTCTTCATACCTCTCCACCAAAACTGGAAACTAAGGTCGTGATACATCTTTGTGCCTCCAGGATGCACCGCAAGGCGCAAATGGTGAAACTCTCGGATTACTTCCTCTCGACAAAGACTCCGGCACAAACAAACGGTCACGGTATCTCACGCTCAGGTCGGGATACACACTCAAGCCTTTTTCTACCTTCCCAGCGGAGATTTTCTCCTAGAGGGTTTCTACTTCAAGGTCACCCTTCTGCGCTTCTAACACTCGGTTCACAAGTGTAAGTTGGGCAACTACCATAAATAAGGTTGTAGATTCAACGGACTCGCCAAGATGCAAGTCAAACTCCCCAAGAGCACCCAACATCTCCCACTCTCAAATGGCAATACAAGCCACACTGCTAACAGATTTTTTACTCAAGGCATTGGCTACAACATTTGCCTTTCCCAGGTGATAATGCAACTCAAAATCATAATCCTCTATGAATTTTATCCACCTTCTCTGCCTCAAATTCTAATCCTTCTGTGTAAACAGATATTTCAGACTCTTGTGATCAGAAAACACCTCAAACTTCTCACCATACAAATAATGTCTCCAAATTTTCAAGGCAAAGATCACCGCTGCTAGCTCTAAATTGTGAGTAGGGTAGTTCCTCTCATGTGTTTTCAACTGCCGTGAGCCATAGGATACTACCTTCTCCTCTTGCATCAAAACACAACCCAAACCTTCCCATGAAGCATTACAATAAACTGAATAACTCAAACCCCTCTCCGAAATAATCAAGACTGGAACATTAAGCTCTTGAAATGGCTTCTCACAAGTCTCATTCCACACAAACTTGACCCCTTTCCTCGTCAATCTAGTCAATAGTAACGCTAGCCAAGAGAAATCCTTAACAAACCTCCGATAATACCTAGCCAACCCCAGGAAACTACGGATCTCAAAAGCATTCTTAGGTTGTGCCCAATCTTGCACTGCCTCTATCTTGGATGAATCTACAATCACTCCTTTCCCAGATACCACATGGCCTAAGAACTTAACTTCCCTCAACCAGAATTCATATTTCCCAAACTTAGCATACAGTTTGTCGGCTCTAAGCAACTCAAGTACTACTCGCAAGTGTTTCTTGTGCTCCTCCTCAGAGGGTGAGTTAATCAAGATATCATCCACGAAGACGACCACAAAACAGTCTAGAAACTCTCGAAAGATCCAGGTTATCAAATCCATAAATACAGTCGGTGCATTGGTCAGCCCAAAAGGCATCACTAAAAATTCATAATGGCCATACCGTGTACGGAATGCCGTCTTGGGGATATCCTCCTCCTTTACCCTCAACTGGTGATAACCCGATCTCAAGTCTATCTTAGAGAAGCAACAAGGCCCCTTCAACTGGTCAAACAAGTTATCTATACAAGGCATTAGGTACTTGTTCTTAACAGTTACCCGGTTCAGCTTCTGATAATCTATACAAAGTCGCAACGCTCCATCTTTCTTTTTAGCAAAGAAAGTCGTTGCTCCCCAAGGCGAAGTACTAGGGCGGATAAAACCCTTATCCAACAATTCTTGGAGTTGAATCTTCAACTCACTCAACTCAGCAGGTGCAAACTGATATGGTGCCATAGAAACCAGTGCTACGCAAGGCACTAAATCAATAGAGAACTCGATATCTCGGTGAAGTGGCAAACTAGTGAGATTGTCTGGAAAGACATCCGGGTATTCACAAACCACCCTTGGGAACTCCACTCGGACTTCATCACATTCACCACTCAAGAAGCTAGCAATATGGCAACTAAGTTCACTCTGCCCACGCAGATCATATACTGGTGATAAGACTCTATCTACCCGGTCCCCCAAGAAGAAAAAACAATCACCGATCGAGGTACATACAGTAACCCTCTAATGGTAGCAATCTAAAACAGTCTGGTATGATGATAACCAATCCATACCCAAAATGACATCAAAACTAGACATATCAAGCAATACAAATCCAAAAGGTAATCGGTGACCGGCAAGCTCGAACTCACAACCCCGACACCCCTGTTTTAGGATAACTTCACTACTAATAGGTGAATCTACATAAATAGGAGATGCTAATTGTGCCAACTCCAACCCCAAAACCGATGCAAATGCAGACGAGATAAAAGAATGGGATGCACCCGTATTAATTAACACATTAGTAACTAAATTGCAAAACAAGAAGGTACCTCTCACTACAGAAGGTGTTGGTACTAGATCTGACGCTATAACAGCATACACATGTCGCGTAGGTCTCTGCTCAACCTACTTACCCCTCGGAGCATATGCCTGATGCACTGACTGAGCCGAAGAGGCTCTCTAATTGGCTCTTGAGGCCTGTGCTAACTGTGCAGGCTGCCTTCAACCAGACGCACCAGATGTGCCACCCAACTTTGGGCAAAAGCTCTTCATGTGCCCTGCCTGCCCACACTGATAACAAGTGAGCGGCTGGCCTCTCCCCTGACTCTGGCTCTAAGAACGAACCGAAGATGATGCCGCTCGCTGCCTTCCTCCTCTTGCGGACAAGCTAGAGACTTGTGGCCCAACTGACCACATTTGAAACAAGTGATATCTCCTTGACCACCCCTCCCGGAACTCGAACTCGGTACTGGAAAAGTGGACCTCGACTGAGCTCCCTGGGATGACTGAGGATTAGAACCCCTCTGCCTTTTACTGTCTCCATGACTGTACTGACTCCTCTTCGAACCCCTCATCCTCTCCTCCTCCGTCTACATAATAGTCTCAAGATGAGCTGCAGCCTCCACAAGGCGCCCATAATCCCTAATCATGGATCCGACCACTCTAAACATGAGCCTAGTCCTCAACCGCTTCTCGAACTCAAAACAATGACACTCCTCAGTCGCCACGAGTTCTGGTCCAAACCTTGACAAACTAGTGAATGTGGCCTCAAACTCGGCTATTGGTGTGTTCAATTGCACCAACTTAGAGAACTGATCTCTCAACTTCTCCCTAATAGTGGGAGGCAAATCTTGTTCTAGAAGGCATCGACAAAAGCCTCCCAAGTCCTTCCAATGCGCCCTCGCGCATACTTCTACCATTGATCCGCGTCTCCCTTTAGCTGGAAGGACGCCAAGGTCACTCTCAAACCCCCGTCTTCGATATCGAGCATCTCAAACGTCTTCACCATCTACTCTAGCCGCTAATCCGCTTTCAGTGGCTCCTTGGGATCACCCAAAAACTCATCCGGATTTGGCCGAAAAAACTCTCTCTTTAAGAAAGAGGGCCCTACCTCAACTACTTGGGCCTGGACTTTATTCTGAGCCCTGAGAATGTCCATAGATTCCCGTAAAACCTTCGACCATTTTGCGGGCTAAGGTGCCCATGACCTTTTGACCAACCGATTCAGCCGCATTGGCCTGACCAACCCCCTCTTCCTATGCCGGAATATCATCCGGTAAAGGCATCTCATGCCTTCTA